CATTTTATATGGTTTCTTCTCTTGCATGATTTGTACTTTTGATTCTCCACTCATAAATAGACTTGATAAGGAATTTTTGAAAGAATAACAATTACAGTCTCAGATAGCCACAAGGGCAGTTCTGCTTTTTTCCCTTTAGGGTTGCCATGAGTCAGAATCGACCCAACAGCCCTGAGAGGTTTGAGCCTCAGGCTTTGAGGCCTGGCCCTCGGTGAAGCCTCAGTGAGCCGGGGTTGTTGTTATAAACACACATCCCGAGAAAAACAGATCCTGCGACCAACAGTGAGCCCCAAAGTGGAAACTGGTCCCAGAACACAGGCAGAAGCTTAACTGCTTGAATTAGGGCTCAGGGTCAGAGCAGGCTGACTAGCTTTTGATGCTGTAGGGATTTGGGGGTCACATAGACACCCAATTCTAGGTAATTTAAGCAATAATAATGACAGCCAAAAGGGAGGGTGTTGTTCATGTAACTAAAAAGCCACCTCTAAACAACAGATCTGGCTCCATGCATCTTAGGTCTCAGCTAGCCACTGTGGATCTGTCTGTCTGTCTGCCTGCCTCTGTCTCTCCCTCCTGCTGGATATTTCTCCCCTTTTCGTGCAGGCTGTCTCTTGATGGTGAGCCTCAGTGGGCCCAGGCGTATATTGTCTTAGAGTGACCATCTCACTGGGAGGAAGGTTTGTCTTTCTCCCTAGTTTCACAAACATCCCCAGGACTGAATCGTAATGGACTGACAGTCACATGTCCTGCTAGGAGCCTAGTACTGTGGCCAGGTGGCAGGGAACACTTTTTTCATCAGGCCGTGGCCTGACCCCTGCCCCTCCTAACTCCTAGTTAATGAGAAAAGAAGACATTGTTCCAAAGGAATCATTAAAGTCTGTCACAGAAGAAATGGATGCTGGGGTGCAAAAACAACAGAGACCTCCCACCCCCATCTCCTGTCACCCGGCTTAGCTCGAGCTGATAAATTCCCTCTTCTTCGCTCCTCCTCCCCCATGTCAAAGTCAAGGGAGACGAGGAGGCAATTCTAGAACACAGGCAAGTCCTTACATGACTGCCCTCACATCATAGCAAAATACAAGGCTAAGAACTATTTGCAGAACAACCGAGGGCCACCTGGTGATGTCTTCTTGCGCAGGTGAATGCTTCAGGGGACCTGGCGCAGAAGCACGTCACAGGACAATCGAGGTCAGGAAAAGGGTTTCAGAAAGTTCATTCTGTCTTGATTTCATCTTTCCATGAACTTTTTAAAGCCCCCTCATGAAATGCATGTCAGTCATGAAATGCTTCACATTTTAGGTAGGACATAAGTGGAACATTCAGTATATAACATAATTCTCCGAGCAGAGATCAAGTGTAGCATTTTATATTAAGAAGATTAATTAGTTAATGTTTATAAAGTACTGTGCAGATATGCCCTTTAAAAATGCTAAGTATTCTAAAAACTACATTGTAACATTTACAAAATGTACAAAATCTAATGTTCATCACTCCTTTCTACAGGTTGGCAAAGACTCCTTTGGCAATGATTATGTAGACAACTTAAAACAGAATGATATTTCCACAGGTAAAATTTCATCTTTTTAAAAGTTGATTTGTAATAGCTTTCTTCTGTAATCTTGTTAGAGGGAAAGTGGAACCTAGCACCGAATCATTAGCTCTTCCTCTGGTAGCTGTGTCCAGCACAGCTTTGTCTAGTCTTGTTTAACTGTTCTCTAGTTAAATCTTTACCGGACACTTGTCCAAGTGGAAATAAAGCAAGAGGAGGTTACAAACCTTCATCTTGTGGCAATCTTTTAGGAGGCACAAGGGAAAGAAGGTTCTACGGTCACAGAAGATTCTAGAAAAAATTATCGAGTGCCATAGCTGGAGCCAATCTTAGAAATCACGGAGGCTTAATACCATCCTTTCAACATTGGGCCTCCATTCAAGTA